ACAATAGGTAGGTTATGTGATGGCAACAAATTTTGCATATCGAGTTTTCGGTGGGAATGCACTTCTCCATAGTAGGGAAGTGTAAATAAACTATTTTTAGCAACCTGTCGGTCTGTCGGTCTGTCGGTCTGTCGGTCTGTCGGTCTGTGTGTGCACGCGTGTATCTCAAGTTCGTCTAAACCGATTTTGATGAAATTTTATATGTAAGTTTGTTTCCACCATGGCACGGATCGATCAACTTTTGGTATATATCAGGGCTCGGGAACTCCACTTTTTAGCGGGCCTGTTTTACATTTTTGAACATTTTGAAGAAAATATTCAACCGATTTACTTGAAATTTTATATATAAGCTCAGCTCGACCGTCCGCAAAAATTCGTATGTTTTGGAAGAAATCAGGCATCAGCAACTAGACGTTTACTACGGGCCAAATATACATTTTTGTGTATATAAAGATAAATAATCAACCGATTTCATTGAAATTTAATATATGAATTCCCCGTATTAAAACAATGAACATGTAAATTTTTTGGAAAGATCAGGCATCGGCAACTAGACGTTTACTACGGGTCAAACATACACTTTTGTGTGTATATAAAGAGAAAAAATCAACCGATTTCATTGAAATTTAATATATGAATTCCTCATATTAAAGCAATGAACATATAACTTTTTTGGAAAGATCAGGGCTCGAGAACTGATTTGCGGGCCGATTTAAATTTTTCACCATATCCACAGAACAAATTGATGGAATTTCTTGAAATTTGATATTTGAGTTCTGGTTGTTACCGAAACTAAATGGAGAGCATTTCAGGGAATTCGAGTAGCACAAAGCGAAACTCTACTAAGAGCCAAATTTAGATTTTTCTAAGTTTGTTAACTATAAGCTTATTAATGTCCTAAAAATTGGAAAGAAGTATTTAACAGACATTTTTATAATATTCTGTAACACTTTCATTTAACTAGACAATACACAATGCGGTCGGTTATGTGCTGACCACATCAGATTTTTTTAATTAAACTCATAGAAAATTCAGCTTATAAAATTTAAGTTTGCATTTTTGTTTAATTATAAAGTTGATTTTTTATCAACATGTTTAAAATATTTTTGCCGCTTACCCAGATTCTATACTAAACGGAATTTCTTTCCAAAAAAACAAAAATCGTTTGGTTTAAGGGAATTTTTTCTTAATTTAATTTATTTCATATGTAAGGAAACAAATATAGTGAAGACTATTGGCTCTTAGGTTGTAGGTCTAGATTGGCAGCATACAATAAGGTGTTGATATATAACCAAATAAATTCGCCTACATGGACGTATGGCTTGCAGCTATGGAGTTGTGCCAAACAGACACACATCAGACAAATACAAACTTTCTAGAACAATGCTCCTTCTCGGCTGTACCCCAAGTTAGTGAGCAAATAAAACATATGAACAGCATGTAAATATGAGGATCTCTTGACATACAGCTTTTTGGTACCTTCCTACACGGAAAGTAGACAGAAAAAACAGGATAGAGCAAAACTACTAATTAGCCAGTTTGAATAGTTTTGGGAGTTTATGATTATCCAGGTGCGTTTTAGGTTAGGTTAAAGTTCCCCACAATTAATAGGTCTGATGACAGTTTGAGTTCGCCTATCTTTGTCATTTGATGATTTTTACCACTTGTATCAAAAAAAAAAATGATTTACACGTATTTGTATCTATAAGTATACATTCTAGCTCAAACCCGCATTTCAAATCCATTGAAATAAAAATAACAATCGTCTACCAAAAAAAATAAGAAAATCTTATTTTTGTGACAACACTAAAATTGTTCGAAATTATTTTTACGGTCAAATTCGAATGTTTTTTAAACCTAACATATGGCTATTTTATGCCGGACATGTCAGATTTTTCTTTCTCATTGTATTCATTATTGAGCTCAACGAGATCAAGATTATCTAAAAATCATATTATGATTTCCCAAAAACATTACGATTCCGAAAAGAATATTAATTTTTAAATGTTCCGCTTTTATTCAATATTCACTTAATTTACTACAATCATTTCATTTTCTTTCTCAAAAAAAAAAAAAAACTCCGTACTATTTAATTTATAATATTATTTTTTTCCCTATTTGCAATCATTATGCATGAATGAACTATATATCTAATCAACTTGTAACGCTTACATACATACATATATATTATTTTAGCTATATATACCCAATATATTGATTTACTTTTAGCAATATTATTAAGTACAATCTTTAACTGTTTTATATAATGTTATATACAGTGTTGTAAAAAAATCCAAAATATCGTTTATACTACATAGTCGTTAATCATTTATTCTAATTCAATAACAATTATTACAATCATTAATATACTTTTATGTTCAAGTGTACTTCCTTACATATAGGTCCTATGAGAGTTTTATTTTTTTCTTTATATCTATAATAAATATATTTGTAGAATACAAATATTTCTTTGTAAATACTTGTAGAATATTATATCGTTCGAATATAATAATAAATTTAATAATGAATTTAAAGGAGAATGGGCGTATCATGATTCAATGATCAAATGAATAGGATATTTTTGTATATATACAACATAAGCATCAATTTAGAAATAAAGAAGGCGAAATAATTAAATAATAAAAATAAATTTGTTAAAAATTGTACAAGTATGTATACTTATATACATATATATATATATATATATATATATATATTGAGGCTTATAATCGTAATATTATAATTATGTCTTGTACAAAAATAAAAATATTTTACACTTGAATGAAAAAATGTTAAGGAAAGTGTAAACTATATTTATTACTTATATTTCTATGTACAAATAATATAGTTAATCTCAATGAATATATATATATACTTGAGTGTGAGAAAAATATTAATTTAAAATTTGCTGAAAGATATTTTTTCTAAATTTGGCAAATTTGAAATCATTATTAATTTAACATCGATTTTCTAATCTAGATTCTCATTTATAATTGCTTTTCTATTTTATAATTGATATTGAAAATTTAAAAATTTGAATTGTTCCTAAAAATATGCAATTAATGGATTGTAATTATTTTGTCTCAATTTTTATATCAAAGTTATTATATCATTTATAGCAATTTATTAATATTATTGGGAAATGCTATAAAATATGAGTTCTTTTTTTTTGTTTTTAAGAAAAATTCTTAAAAAAATAATTAGTAAATTCTATATTTATTTCTTAAAATAAATTTTTTGAATTATGAAATTATTTAAGTAGAGAAAACGAGCATTAATTTATAACTTTGGATAACTTTTATTAATAATTTTTTCTAAATAACTTTTTATTATTTAATTATTTATAATTGACTTTTTTACTTCTTCATATTAGAAATTGCTATCAATTATGAGTTTTTATTTTGTATTTGACTCCTCAGTATCATTATAATTTAATTGATACTATTATATAAATATTGATAAAAATTTTGGAAAAAAAAAATTGCCTTTTATTTATATTGTGATTTAGTTCTTTGTTTTCAGTTTTATATAGAAATTTTAAGAATATTATATGATTAATTATTCAATTTGATTATTATTTTCTATTATTATTTTGTTATTGTTTATGAAATTAAGAAATACATAAGTATATTAAATGATAATATTTTTATTTAAAAAGTGAAAAGAAAAACGATTATTAGAGAACAATAGCAGCTATACTTGTATACTCGTATATGTATCAGCTATGTTATGTACATATATAAAATATAGTTTTTGAGTTTAAATGGATCATTCAAATTTCATCGAAACAATAATTTATTGTTATAACAATTGTATACATATACTGGAGCAGTTAATATCAAAATCTGATTCTATAATAATGTATTGTATTCATATTTGTATACGTATATAATATATGAATAAAACATAATTGCGAACACTTTTCAATATATATAATTGTATTTGTGTTCTGTATTGATTAATGTGAACATTTTGTATTTAATCCTATATTTTGAGTATTGAAATTAATTATTTTAACTGGATATCCTTGACAAATGGAATTTTGGTTTTTAAGGGTTTTGTGTTTTTTTTTGTTTTGTATTATTTTGTATTCAGGTTTGTTAAACTTCTATATATAAATAATTTTATAATAAAATTAATTATTTAGTCATAAAACAATCTGTTTCCATTTAAAATTTGATTGCTCTTTTCTTATTTTGTTATTGTTTTAATATTTCATCAAAATCAATTTGAAACATTAATTAATTTAAAAGTTTTGAAGAAAATTCAATTTATTATTTTCAGTCTTAAGTTGCAACTACATATTTATTTTTTAAAACAAAATTCTTTAATTTTATATTTAAAATATAAAAAATTGAACTGATTATGAAAAATTGCTTACTTTCTCAAAGAAATCGGAAGTCTTAATCGGCTATTTAGGACATATTAAGTTGGGCAAACCTTTTGGAAAATATTACGAAACTATACAATTATAATTTCTATTATGTTATTGTATAGAATAGTATGGAATCATTGCTAATTATAGTTAAAGCAATGCGCAATTTTTGTATTGTCTAAAATAGCGACCCGAGCTAAATTGACTCTTTCCGAAATTAGTTCCAACTTTGATCCAACAAAATTTTGTTAATGTATTTTACTAACTTTTGAAACGAATTAATAAAATACCAGCCACTTAGAAAGCGGTAGGTCACTGGTTTAAGTTCAGTACGAGGACAAATTTTTTTTTTTAAATTTTCTGCCTAGACTTGTACCTTAAATTATGTCATTCTTCTGTTCAGCAGTTTTATTAAAATTTCTTTGTTTTTTTTTTTTGTCTGAGAATTTTGTTCACAGTATACTTGATTCTGCATTTAAGAAAAAATTTTGACATTTTCATAAAATTCATCTTTTTAAATGTCTACATTTAATTTATTTAAATATAATCACAGTAACCTTTGAGTAAAATTTTAATTAAATTTTTTAAAAATACCAATTTTTTTCTTATTTATTTTCTTTTACAGTTAAAGATTTATCAGATAAATGCGAAGATAAAGATTTTAAATGTGGTAATGGTTTATGTATTCCAATAAGATTTATATGCGATGGTAGCCCAGATTGTGATGATGGCAGTGATGAATTATTGCCCGAATGTAAAGCAAGAGGTAATTTTTTTATGAAATTTATATTATAGAATATTAATTCGGGTATGTCCAAATATAGTATAGAAAGATAAAAAATTTAATTAATTTTAATTCTTATAACGTGGTTCACCATATTTGATTGATTTATAGATTAATAGTATACTTAAAAAAGTTTTTCTTAAGTAATCAGTTTGTTTAAAAAATATTTATTGTTAGGAGATTAATTAATGTTCAAAATTTGTTATATTATAAATATGTAAGCTATAAATTGGTAGAACATTAAAATTTATGTTTTTTAAATATTAAATTTTTTCTATGTAAAGGATTCTTCTACATACATATATATACAATTTGCAAAACAATAAAAAAATTCTAGTTGATATTAGTTGAAGCTTGTTGACATATTTGAAGCAAAATTAACAGCAATGAATAAATTTTTATTACCATTTTATAACAAGAATATAACAAATATGTAAACGTATACTATATGAGTAAATATATAAAGATACATACATACAAATATGCAGAAACCTAATTTTGGTCTGAAAAAAGAAAAAATTTCAATTTTTGAATTCACATGTTTTATAAATTTTATTGTAATTTTGAAAAAAAAATTTGAATATAAAATTAAAAACATGATGTCAATTTTTTTTTTCAATTTTAATACTAGAATGGAAATGTTATTTTTTCTTTCAATAAAGTAGAAAAAAGAATTTCAATTGTCATTCATTCAATAAAATCGAAATCATTACCAGATATTCAGAAATTTGTATTAAAACCTCGTTTTTAATGTTAACAATTGAAAAAGGAAATATGTTTGTAATATTCTTAACAAAATTTGCACAAAAAATTTTTACTTTTTCGATTACATTTTTTGAGTAAACTCACACGAATTCGCACAGTTTTACAAGTATATGTGATCATAATATCAGGAACGTACATTGCATGTGCCCTCTGCATGAAACATTTGTGTATAATGAATAAAGCAAAAAACGATTACATTGGAATACTCTTTAAAAACTTGCAAAGATTTATTAATAAATACATGCTATCAGAGAGTATACAATAGAATTAGACCGACAAAGCATATGTCGGTCAGTTACTTATATTTTTTGGAAATTACCTTGAGTTTTAAAACTCCATAAAATTTTCACATATAATTTCTTCGAAATCATTCATTTTCTATTTGGTAAGTCTTTTTTTTTTCAGTTATGTTCATATTTTTCACATTTTGAATTGTTATATTTTACATATGCATGTATATAAGTATGCAATGTGTATAAAAATTTTGAAATAAAAACGTTTTGAATTTGAAAAGGAGAAAAAAATCAATATAAAATTAAAATTTTTTCGTTTTTTCTTTTACTTATATTTGGAAGAACAATAAAATAATGGATCAAGTTGATACTCAGAAATAATTACAAGAAAGCACATCTGCAGAATGTCATTTTTATATCATAAAAAATCATTCCGCAATATCATCTTAAGTATAATGGTCCTTAGAATTTTTTCTTACCATATAGCTATCTATACGTATGAATGTGTAGGTATATATGTATGTTTTTGGCACTCATATATTAGAATTATTTCACTAGATTTGATAATTTTTTTGTTATTTGACAATATTTTTAGATGTTATGTAAAAAATTTTTTTTCATAAATTAATTTATTCATATTGTTGGAATAATTATAAAAATTTCTAGGGTCTTTTCATTCATCTGTATAAATGAAATCATTCTGTAAAATTAAAAATGTTATCCATGTGTACAATAACAATATTAATTTAATGAAAATTTTAAAATTTATTAAAATTTATTTAAAATTTATTTATTTAAAAAAATAATTACATGCGTCCTATAAGTATGCAAATTTCTTGAATAATCAAATTCATTGAATACTCACTATGTAATTTGTATTGAACTGAGTTGGATGCTTATATTACAAGATACAATTGCAATTGTTCTGCGTTTTTTTTAAATCTTTCAACAATATCAAAAAAATCTATTATCTAATTTCTTTTATATTAAAAAATTAAAGCATTTTGCAATTATTACAACAATATATTTTTGTTCACAAGTACTTATATAAATAAAAAATTATCTCGGCAAAAAAAATACCAATTTCCTGTTTTTTTTTTCTTCGATTGAGTTTTCTAATTCAATAATCAATTTAATATTCTTGAGTGGATTACATTAGAATCAAGAAAGTAGAAATGATAAAAAATCAAATAATATGGTCTATTTTGTTTAAAATTTTATACAGTTTAAAAAAATTCCTTATTCATATTTAATAAATTGTTCAGCTAGAGTTAGGGCTATTTAAATTAAAATCGTATAGCACATACATACAAATATGAAACATTCATTTATTTTATTAAATTTTCATAAGATTAGTTTATAAATTTGGGTTTTTTTTTATGGATAACAGGTATTTTAAATTACGCAAGTAAAATAAATGTAGATTACATTTGCAATGCCTTGTAATTTTTTTTATTTTTTAATCTAGTTAATGTTTTTTTTTTTTCGTAGAAATATTTGAGTATATTAAAAATTGATTTAATTTATGAAATTTGTTTATCTGTCATGTTTCTTATCCTTAACATGACTGATAACACTAAAATTTTGAAGTACGTAATAAAGCCGCATAACAACTTTTGTTTTAAAAATTTTACAGATTTGTGCAATTTTTATTTTTAGTTTTAAGGCAAATAGTTATTTTTTTAGGGATTTTGAATTGTTTTTTTTTTATATAATTTTCAAGGACACCATATTGCTACATCTCTTCTTTAGATACTGATCTTTGATGCTTCATTTAATTTTACAATTGGAATCTTTTTCCTCTATAACAATAATGTTGCTTGAAAATTTGAGCATTGTAGATCTTAAAACCGAATTAAAATTGGCACGATATAAATTTAAAATTGTTATGAATTCTTAATTTGTTGTTGTAATATTTGTATAATTGCCGTAAATATAGAGTGATTTGTTAACATCCGTAAATCAAATGTGCAAAATTTTCAACTATATATTTAAAATTTTAAAATAAACTAGACTGAAAATGACATAATTTAGACTTAACAAATACATTTGGTCAAACAACAATGTATTCTTAAAATATAAATTTCTTCAATCAGTTTAAATATAGTAACAGTGTATGTTCTGTTTAATAATATATATTAGGTCCTTGGAATGTTTTTTTTTATTTTTAAATTCTCATTGGATTAATTTTCTTGCTTTTTAAATTTTGTTACAAGATTATATTATTATTTTTGTACCAAAATAACTACTTATACATTAAAATTTTAAAAGTACAAACACTATATGAGTATATATGGGAATATAATAATAAAACATACATATAAGTACACTAAGTCCTCGAGATACGACATCTTCTAATACGACATTTCGAGTTACGACATGATATAAATTTGGATCATTTTTATTCGGCTTACGACTTTGTTCCTAATACGACATTGAAAATTTAAAAAAAAAAATTGTTTTTTTGACAGATTTTACTGTTTTTTGAATAAAAATCTATACCGAATCTAGTTATAAGGCAAAACTAAAGCACATACTTCAATAATGAATTCTTTTTTGTTAAAAATTCTAGTTAGTAGTTAAGATTATGAATTGAAGTGATAAAATATCAACTTAATCAGATTTTATTTTATTTATTTTTGTTACAAAATTGAATTTTTTTGGTTTTGTTATTATATTTTGTTGTTTCTTTCAAACTTTGTTACCTTTTTTAAAAAAAACAAGATCAGTTATTTTATAAAACAGTTTGTCTAGTTCACTTTTTGTTTCCATACATTTTTTTTCCTCCTCAAACGACAATTCGAGTTACGACATAAATTTCTGGAACCAAAAATGTCGTATCTCGAGGACTTAGTGTATATATTTACTTCTATAACATTTACTGTGTTCATAGCATACAGAATAGAAATCAACTATAAAATTCATTATTTTAAAAAGTTTCATACATTGACTTCATAATTTTTTGAATCATTTTAATAAACACACTTACAAATAAGGTTTCTAAAAAATTTATACATATAAATTTATGCATATGTATACATATTTATGTATATGAATATTTATATAAAAATATCTGTATATGTAAATTAAAAAACATTATCTTGGTATTGTACAATTGAGCAATTCAAAATATAGTAAAATGGGAATAAAGAGAAAATTGCAAATTCTGCATGTTTTTGCTAAAAATGCCAATTTTCTAACTAAAAAGAACTAAAAAAAAAATATCAGTATTATAACCTTATTATACTTAGTTTTTGTTCTTGTATAATTTTATCCATATGTTTTTTTTTTTTTGTCATACTATATAAAATTAAAAATACTAAAATAGAAAACACAAGTAGAAAAGAAAAGTGTAACAAAAATAAAAGTACACGACATAATTTTATTTAGTTTTGTAAATGTGAATTGTGAATAATCCAATGTTTTGCTCTATTTTGAGAATTGCCAATATACAATGTATTTATAAGATAATTTAAATAGTAGTGGTAAATGTAGAATTAGCAACAAAATTACCATTTAGGAGGATCTTCTTCTTCTTTCTTAGCATTTTACAGCCCTCTGTGAGCCAAAGCTTCCTCAGCTATTCTCTTCCATTCACTTCGATCTTGAGCCAACGTGCTATAATTTCTAATATTCATGGTACTTAGATCCGCTTCAACCATGTCCAGCCATCTACTTTTGGGTCTTCCTCTCGCTCTCGTCCCCTGCTCGCGATGCATGAAAATTCTTTTTTGTGTTGTTTCGCCTGACATACGAACCATGTGGCCCAGCCAACTTATTCGTTTGGATTTTATAAATCGAATAATGGTTCGATTTCGTATTAATGCTTCAAGTTCATGATTATATCTTGCTCTATAAATATTGCCATTCATTCTCACTGGTCCGTATAATCTTCTTAGTATTTTCCTTTCAAAAATTGATAGCATTTTGCAGTCTGCAACCTTTAGGTTCCATACTTCGCATCCGTAAGTAAGAATAGGTCTT